TTCGTATGATATCCTTCACATTTACAATAGAAAATGTCGGTAATTTGTCTGTCATCTTCACAACATCCTACTTTTTCTTTCGGGCGCCTTAAGTACTGATATATTCGACATGTTCACTCTCGTCTCTCTGGTTGGAAGCTTTCCTCTAAAAATCTGCGGCTTTCTCTTTTATACCAGTCAGATTCGCAAAAACGACAGGCTGAGTGCCTGCGTTTCTTCGCAACTACCAGTTTGGTGTGAGTGTGGTCAAATGCTATCTGAAGTCTAGCCGGACAGGTTAGGACTTGTCAGTGTTAGGAAGAAATTCAAATGAGTTACTTTTACACCTGTTTCTTTAATTAGAATTTTTATTTATACCCAGAAATCCAGTTAAACGCATATGGAATCTATGAATGGATTTTTTATTTACTTTCGAATGTTGTAATTTTTTTACTTCCTAAGGTAGTGAAAGTATGGAGTCGACCCGCTAAGAGTTTTCGCACTCTTACTTACAGTAACACGTCTTAGAGAACACCTGAATAGAAACAAATTTTTTATCATAAAGAAATTTCATTCTATCCTTCTTTATTTTTGAGTGCCTTTCGTTTTCCTCAAGGAGTGATACATTTATGAGGTAACTGTCAAGGTTTGTAGCGTTGTTAGGTCATTATCGCGAAGAACACATATTCAAGACAGATTCTATGTAAAAAAAAATTACATTTGTATGAAATATGATACAATTAATGGTTGATGTACATTTTTTAAAACTAAAATCATCTATTTGACATTGTTTATGCCTATAATTATTAAAGGGGATCACAATATACTTCATGCGTTGATTAGAAATAGTTTGAGTTAACACTTTTCTACATCAGCAAGTAAATAAATTATAGTAAAATAAGCACAAAGTTAGAAAAATCGAAAAATCCAAACAACAATTCAGGCATCAATTGGAATCCTTCATTCTATGTTATGAATTATAGAATTAGATGGTTATAATTCTTCCTACTAGTATATTTTATTGTAAAGGATTTGCCAACTTTTTGATTTAACATAAAAATTTAACCATGACATTATATTACCAAGAAATAAGTTGACTGTAAATGAAGTTCAACAGGTTTTCTCATATGTCTCTCCACGAGAATGCAGTTAAAGAGGTTGTCGATATTTTCGTGCAAATTAGTTGCGGTAGGTAATTCATCTCTAATACCGAAAATTGTGACAAAAAATTGGATATAGTTCAATTGCATTAATTATTTTTGATTTTTATTGGATGATGACGTGTTTTTTTTTTATTAACCTTTTTAAATATCATATATCGAGACGGTTTTGATGTAGGATGGTTTGGTTGTAGTCACTGAAATACATTTTTGTTGTTCAATCCAACATGATTGATTTCTTTTTTTCGATTGATTTTATTTTGGCCAGATGTAATATATTAATTTTGTTCTATTTTGTTATTCTCAAGGGACTGTGTCCCAGAATAAAGTTATTTTTCTATTTCTATTTCTATTTCTATGATAGCAGTAGAGCGATAGACCTAAAAATGGCGGGAGTTTTTACTATGTATAAAAATTCAACATAATTATTGTGAAACAAACCAATATAATATTGAATACTTAAAATTAATTTGTTTATATGTTAGTTTAGTTGCAAAGATTTTTATTTATTTTTTTTGTTTTACCTATTATATATACTCGAAAATATCTTTAAAAAAATACGTAATAAATAAAATAAATAACGGATTTGCTAAGATTAAATACATGGGGGAGGGGAGACAGCCATTATAACATAGATACATTTCTAGAGCTTTTAAGCTAAAAAAGAACTCAAATAAAAGACTATTTTTCCGAATAGTGTGCCGCGTAAAATATGATAAGAATATAACGTGAAAATTGAAGAGTGAACCATTGAATTGTAGGATAAGTTGATATTAATATGTTTGAATATAAATGACAATTTAAATAAAGTTAACATTTAGGTATCAATAAAATAGTTACATACCTACTATTATGTCCTAGCTAGGCTTTTCTTAATCAATTTTAATTTACACATTTTATTCATTCATGTAGCTTATTTATTATTGATTTTAATTTTTTTCTGTACCCTCTCTCTTCCTCGAGGTTTGGCCATATGTCCAATATTACTTTATTTCATTTCATTACATTACTTAGGAAATAATCCTTGTGTCCTACAAGGAACACGCCTTGTATACAATATGTATATATTTATGAACGCCATTCCAAACCTATTTCCATTTCAATTTTTTTTTTTTTTTTTAATTCGTAACATTCATAGCCTGCCATTCTTGTGAATCAATTACCTGAAACGTGGTTGCTAATCTACTCCGGACAGGTCGTGGATCGTGCCGGAGGGTATGAAAGGATTGGAAAAGCGTTGAACGATTTGACGGATGGCAATCAGCAAATATGTGGGCTAAGGGTGACCGAATATAATCAAAAGTCCTTCGAGGATTGGGCCACCATCTTCCCTATCATCATTCCATTAAATCATCAAAGGTCGTGTTCGTTCCATTAATGGATATCAGAGGGAGAGGAGAGAGAGAAAGAGAGAGAGGGTGAGAGAGAACTCTTGATATGAGTGAAATTGATATGAGTGAAATTTGAGGGTGTTTTCATTTGCTTATGACGTTCACATAAAGATTTATGATCATTCACAGTTATATTTATTTCTAGTTAGATTACGTTTAAATTATCGTGCAATATCATTTAATCAGAATAATATTTATTAATTTTTAGTTATAGTTATAATAATATGTGTTTAAGTGTTCAATGAATTTATTATTTATTTCTTGAGTTAATATCCAGTATTTAAGGGCTCAATGAATAATTCTTTCCTCAAAACTGGTCCTTTAAACTATATTGTCGAGATATATGACTAAAAAAAGGGTCAGTGAAATAATTAAATTATTTTCACCATTTATATAAACACATTAATATTTTTATTAAAATTTTTTTTTTTTCAGATTGACTAAAAACAAAAATAATAAAAATGAGTCAAATATTATATAGCATGTCTGTTTTATAAAATTATTACCTTTTAGCCTTCGCTTTCTTTCAAGCAATAAATTAAAAATTTAAATATATATATATATATATATATATTGTGAACTGTTCAAAAATCATGATTGATTGTCATAATATTTTAAACATCCGACTTCGATAAATGGGCTCATTTATATAAAAAATAAATAGTAACCTTTAGAGAATGTTACATTATAAAATACAATATAATAAATTATTACAATTTAATTTCATTTATTATTATTATTTACTTTTTTATTGAGTAATATTACCAATGGGATTGGTAATAATGAAATAAGAGTTCATTCATACCAATTTTACTGACAATATATAAATAAATTAAGTAATATTACAGCATTATAAAAAATGAAAAGAAGCGAAAAAAAACTAAAAGTTATTGCGTATAAATGTTTTTTTTTTGGTTAATGAAGAATTCTGAAACGTTATTTGAATAATTTATAACATAAATAAGTTATAACCGGTAAAGTATTATAGATAGTTCCAAATTATAAATTCAAAAATATTTAGAATATGAATAAATAACTGTTGTCGCATATTAGTGTTATATTTAATTGTGCCAACAAATTGTGAAGATGAAAGGAATAAGTAAATTCCTGAACATTAGAAAATAATTCCGAAACGTCGAAAACTGCAGTTTTAAAAGAAAAATATTGAACAAAAATAAAAAAAAATGTTGACAATGTTTCACAAATTAACACAAAATCAGAAATATAATTCAAAGACTATTTTCATAGATATAATTATTATTTGACGAAAATTATTTATTTGTGATTTTACCTCCGCATTTATTTTTTCAATTTCAATTTTTATTATTATTTTGATCAATCTTATCTATTTTATTTTAATGTAAGTTTGAAATGTTTATCTGGGTAATTTTAACAGTTTATTAGATACTCGCTTTGTGTAAATTTTATTTACATAGAATATTAATACTTTCTAAAAATTGTATGAGTTGGATATTTATATGATTTCAATTAATAATATTTATCGAAAAAAACAACAACTATATTTAAGTAATTGAAACTGAAATTTTCGCAATTTAATTTATAAAAAAAATAATAAGTTGTGACTGCATCTTCAGGACGATATCCACAGAAGATGTACTGAACTTTAGTTCGTTATTGACGAGTTTGAACATTTAAGATGATGGAGTAAGAGCATATAACAAGGTATATATAAATTGAAGAGACTTTCAACGTTGCAATGTGTACGATTTATTTTATAATAGTTTAATACATACTTGTTGGTAACATTTTATTATTATTATCATCAAGATGAGTATTGAGAAATATCTTAAATAACAGCATATAAAGGCTTTAAACGGATCCTCCAAGTCAGATGGAATCACGATTTAACGAACTTCAAGGATTCAATCTTAATTTCGGAATCTGTTGGTTTCTTTCCCGTTTCCCACATCCATCATCTAGGAAAGGTCATGGAAACTTCGCTGGATATGAAACGAAAGACCGCTGATCTTGCAACGTTCCAGGTTAGCGTTGGGCCCGACATTATTACACCTAGCCGGCAATCATGGCACACCTCTATACCACTTAGGATTAAAAGCCGTTTTGAAAACGACATGATAACATGGTATCAGTTACGCAGGATTCGTAATCGTCCTTAATGGACTACGAGGCACTCGTTCGTCCTGAATCCCCTGGGTCCTTATAGGAGGGTATGGAAAATAAGTGATCTAGGATATGGTAAGCAGCATCGTTATGCACTGATTGCGGGCGTGTTTGGAAACGAGGAATCCTTAATAAGGTAAGTCGCGCAACAGCATGCGGAGATGGTACGACCGGAACCGATTAATTTGTTGAAACATATGGTGCATGATGCTGATTATGCTAATAATGAAAATATATTTGACACCTACATAAATTAGTATTACTAATCAAGCCCAATTAAAAGTTGTTATTTGGTATATTATAATTATAGTATATGAAAAGAGCTTACCTTAAAATTAAAATAAAATTCTATCAGTTTCCTTGTCCTTTATTTCCTCGGCTGCGTAACAATTCGTCAATTTTTTACCTGTAACAAACCATTTATATTAGTCAATTAACGATATAATTTGAGTTAATCATAAGTTATAAGATGATATAAAATAATAAATATGTGTATATTTCAATTGAAAGTGGTCAGTTTTTATCAATCACCATTTACAATATTTTTTAATAATACGAATTACTGCAAACATTGTAGCCATTCGTTTGTGTGTTCTATCCTTAATATGACGGAATAATTAAATACCACAAGATCATATCAGACTTATTGAAATCAAATATGACAAATGATTCCGATGAATTATCTTGTTTTTATATTATTTAATGTAGAACGTTATAATATATTTTATAAGTAAATAATAACCACTGAAGCTATAATGTTTAACTGACTTTGTTATCATCAACGATTCTTCATAGAAATGAAGAAACGAATCCAATGATTTTTTCACACAGATCAATCAATAATCTCTTATATATGAAGGTCGGTTATTGATATGAAATAAGTTTTTAGTTCTCAATAATCATTTCTTGTTATATTTTAGCCGAAGTGCAATATAAAACACTCTTTATGATGAAAAACTTGTCAATGCATGAGTTAGGTCCAAATTTTCTAGTAAAAAAAAAGAACTGAAAATGTACTTATATATGTAATAATATTTTTTAAGAAATGTGTTAGAATAGTAATTCTAAAAAAATAATACAAAGTACGCAACAATTTTAGGATCTAGATTATAATATATTAATTTTTGTATACGTTAAAAAATAATAAATAAGTATAAAACCGGTCTCTAATAAATATCATCATATCTGGCAAAGCATAGTTGGTCTCGAGTAACGAGCTAATTGACTGACTGCAATATGTTACTTTTTTTTTAGAATCAGTAATCATGATTTTGGAGCTAATTTTCTAATCTCTTTTCTAACCTAACATTTTGGTTTGAAGTTAAACATATTAGGAAAATATTTCTCTATATAAAAAATCAAAAAAAAAATCTTATGACAAACAAAGAAACTAATTTTGAATCTGAAAATCTACAAATAATCATTATTACAACTAATAAAGATTGAACTTGTGAATTAAAAATACAAAAAAAATTGGAATTTTATATATTATTAACTTGTGTGTTAATAATAAACTACATACACATACTCTCGAATTCGAAAAAAAAAAAATAATAAAAGAGAGACATCTTTCTTTGAATTTTAGATGATCGAAGGAAGTTACTCTCTAAAATAATTGTTATTTTTATTTCGAAATCGAAATGGATTCTGATTTTTAGCTCCTATACAACGACGGACTAATTTACTGTCGAATCTCTGTATATTTAACATGTAGCTTGATAAATATTTAAAATACACAAATTTCAATATATATATATATATATATATATATATATATATATATATATATATATATATATATATATATATATATATATATATATACATCGTTTTCAACACCCTTCCAATCCTACCTATTCAAGTACCTCCTATCCATCAAGTTTAAAAAAAAAAAAAAAAAATGAAATAGGTATTTCTGAAATAAATATAAATCCGGTCTCTAAGAAACGTTATCATATAATGAAGAAAGATGTCTCAGAATTTCGATGAAGACAATTTACTGGATTTATATTGCATTGTCCATTGGAAATACTCAAACAAAATATTTTTTTTTTTAGTTTATGAAATGAAATGAAAGAATCTTTGAAAAAATAATCAGTGAATTGCTTCAAAATATGGATAAGACATTGATATTGTGAATAGGTTACACAATTAAATGAAGAAGGAGAAATCACTAAGAAAATTTCTCTCATGGAATGTAGTAAAGACATTTAGTAGTAAATTTTTTGTTTTTTATTTATTTACTTTTTTAATAATACTCAAATTTAATCTGACCCATTTGGATTTATTTTAGCACGATGCGAACTATTTAGTTCAAGATCAAAGAGTTTGTACATCAAATCTCCTAAATAATTGTTTTAGTATAAAAAGTAATTTAACATTCCATTCTTTTTAGAAATGTCTTCACCTCATCAAGGCTTCGGTAAGGCACGATACCTAGTGCATTAGAGAGGATGAGACTCGTCCTATTTTGGTTACGGCGCCGTTGTTGGCAACAAAATGGAACAACGAAATTGTTGAGCAAGAGCCTACAGCATGACCCCCATTTAGTTATCCTATCCCATTAACTTTAAGTCAAGGCCCTGCCCTCTCACGCCACATTACCAGGCCTCCGAACTGTTCTGAATTTTAGAGATTCCAAAAAGGTCTTAAAGATACAGGATTATATTCGCCCAACGTAGCTGAGAATTCGTGCGAATTGAGGGCAAAGCAGGGTTGGTATAGCGTAACGAGGTAATTGACTGGCTGCAAAATGTACTTTTTTTTTTGGAATCAGTAATCATGATTATGGAGCTAATTTTCTAATCTCTTTTCTAACCTAACCTTTTGGCTTGAAGTTGAACATATAAGGAAAATATTCCTCCATATAAAAATTTAAAAAAAAATCTTAAGACAAACAAGTAAACTAATTTTGAATCTGAAACTTGACAAATAATCATTATTATAACTTATACAGATTGAACTAACTTGTAAATTATAAGGACTCCAATATAACTGGAATTTTATATATTATTAACTTATGTGTTAATAATAAGCTACATAAACACACTCTCAAATTCGATAAAAAATAATAAATGAGAGACATCTTTCTTTGAATTTTAGAAGTTACTCTCTAAAGTAATCAAAATCGAAATTGATTCTCATTTTCAGCTCCTATTCCGAGTATACAACGACGGAGTAATTTACAATCGAACCTCTGTATATTTAACATGTAGATTCCTTGATAAACATTTAAAATACAAAAATTTCAATATATATATATATATATATATATATATATATATATATATATATATCGTTTTCAACACCCTTCCCACCTTTAAATTCTACATATTCAATCACCTCGTATCCATCTAGTTCTAAAAAAAAAAAATAATGAAATAGGTATTTCTGAAAAAAAAAATATGTATATAAATTATTTGTTCGTTTTCTAATCATTATTATTTCATTTTTAAATTATTGTTTCTATTTATTAATAATAGAAATTATTTAATTTTTTATTATTTTAAAAGGAGGAGATGGTCCGGGGTTGCGGTCATAAATAGGCTAAATAGTGGTAAAACTATTTTATTGAAAGCCGAAGTTTCGACCCGACTTTGCAGGTCTTCTTCAGGGAGGTGTGTTCAGCTAGGAGTTTCACTTAGAACTCAACTCAGTTCTGTTCTCAGCTGAACACACCTCCCCGAACCATCTCCTTCCTTTATAATGCAACGGTCAACTATTAAATATTCAGTTATTATTTTAACTTTTTATTTTACTTTGAGCCCTTAAAACCCACGATCGTTTATATTTATTTTGTTCCAAAGGGATTCATTCCGGAACAAATAATCTGTTATTATTGTTAAATGAAAAGATTGAGATTTTTCGTGCTTGACTTACTATGAATTTTCAGCTTCAAGACTTAAGTTGAGTTTTTAAAAAATCGAGTCGTGTAAATATGTTCAGGTTTTATTGTAAAAGGTACCGTGTTTATTATTAAAAAATAATAATAAAAATAAATAAATAAAAAAAAGTATAGATTATAATATGTTCTATACTTTTGACTATGTATGGAAACTGTAGGTGGTTGAATTGTAATTCGTCTGATCTTGTTTATTTCAGTTCTTATTATTGTTAGAATTTATTATTGTAGTTTATAATTGAAAATAATTGTATTATAATGATGTCCAAAATGTTTGATCTGATACTAATAAATTAAAAAATCGACTCCTGTTTTTAGTAAACGTTTCTTGAGCATTCTCGTGATAATATTTTTAGTAAAAAATGATGTTTTTTCAGCTTTTTTGAACTTCAGTTAAAAGTTTAAAAAAGGAAAATGTACTAGACTACAAAAAAAAAAAAAAAAAAAAAAAAAATGGCAGGCCAAGTTGTGCAAGAAGGGGGCGTACCGGGGCAAGTGGCAAGGACATGGCAGCAACTCAGCTCCTCCGGCCTATTCTTATATAAAGGTCATTTTCTAATCGCAGATCCGTTTCGTTCTCTGAATTTACTTTGCTGTTTTATTTTTTTTGTGTTCCTATATCGCAGATTAAATTGTCTTTGTGCACTGCAGCTCCTTAGATATTTACTGTTCCCACTGGAAAATTGTTTATTTATCCAATACATTTATCCTAACTTAAGATTTCCCAACCCAAAGCTCGCGGGCACTGCAGTGCCCGAGTGACGTCACTTGTGCCCGTGAATATGGCCGCCTGTCATACGTAACCTTTAGCGGCTAGATTGAAAAGTTTTCTGTTAAATGTTGAATATTCATTTTAATAAATATCTAATTATTTGTAAGTAAGTTGTAATTTATTTTATATTTTTTTAAGTTATATCATATAATTCAAATATAAACATTGAATAATAAAGAATTAAAATAAAAAAGTGAAAGGTATAGACTAAAAAATGTAGGTAGAAAAAAACTTTATGTAAGTAAAATGAAGTAGATAGAGTGGGCATTAAAGTAAAATTAACTAGGTAGAATAATAACAATATCAGAGAATTAAGAAATATATATAACTTCACATAACTTTTACATTTTATTCTAAGATTGCCATTTTTTATTTCTTATGTTACCTTATTTTGACTATATTTATTTCATTATTCCGTACTTTGTTTCCATTATTTATTTATTAATTATTTGTTATTTTTATTATTCTACCTCCTTTATTTTACTTTAATGCCCACTCTATCTACTTCATTTTACTTTAAGTTTTTTTCTACCCACATTTCTTATTCTATACCTTTCACTTTTTTATTTTAATTCTTTATTACTCAATGTTTATAGTTTCTCATACCTATTGTTATTTGGTTCTTTTATTAGCCCTGGAGAAGGCCTGACTTCGGGCCGAAACGACTGCAAATGTAAAAATAAATACTATTATTTATTTTTGATATTTTTTATCTTGACTGATCACCCAAACC